GTGCCATGCTGTGCCAGGGATTCTCGGGTCACCCCGGCAATGCTGGGAATCTCCAGAGCCACACCTGACGATGCTCAGGGGCAATTCAGAGTCACACCTAGCGATGTCTCTGGAGGGCCATACGGTGCCAGGAATGGAACTCAGCCCAGGCATGAAGGCGCATGTTAAGTGTTTACCCTCACTGTATTTATCTCCTGGCCCCAAAAAAAGTTCTGTTAAAAAGTTTTGGGTCAGCTAGAGAGATTAGTACAGCAGGAAAAGCTCATGTCTGGCTGGGACTGAGGTGATAGTAAAGTGATAAGACACTTGCCTTGCATGCAGCCAACCTGGTTTGATCCTCGGCATCCCTGAGCACCACCACGAATAATTCCCGAGTGCAGAGTGAGGAGTAAGCTCTGAGCATCGCCAGGTGCAGCCAAAAAACAAAAAATGCTCTTTCTGGCAAGTGGCTGACCTGAGTTCAATCCCCAGCACCTAATATGATCTCCCAACTTCCCAACCCCCACCAGGGTGTAGAGCCAGGAATAAACCCTGAACACTGCCAGGTGTGGCCCCAAAACAAAAAGTATTGGGTTCAGAGACAGTATGCAGTGGGATATAAAAACTTTGTTACAGATGAGGTCCCAGGTTCAACGCTCCATAAAACACTGAGAAGGGCTCTTCATTCTAGGCAGGTAGCACTGCACGGTAGCACTGTCCTCCCGTTGTTCATTGATTTGCTCGAGCGGGCCCTGTAACATCTCCATCATGAGACTTGTTACTGTGTTTGGCATATTGAATTCATCGTGGGAAGCTTTCCAGGCTTTGCTGTGCGGGCGAGTGACTCTCGGTAGCTTGTTGGGCTCTCCAGGAGGGGCGGAGGAATCAAGTCCGGCTCGGGCGGGCCGGCTGCGCGCAAGGCAAATGCCCTACCGCTGTGTTACTGCTCTAGCCACATTCTAGGCAGGTACTGAAATGTAGTAACCAGGTTTAAGTACAGAATATGTACAGGAGGATGGGGTCAGAGCCATAGTACAGTGGGTGGGGCACTTGCCTGGCATGACACAGACCCAGGTTCAATCCCCTGCATCCCATATGGTCCCCCGAGTACCACCAAGAGTAATTCCTGAGTGCAGAGCCAAGAGTAAGTCCAGAGCATCATCGGACGTGGCCCCCCTGAAAAAAAATGTACAGGAAGAGGTTGCAGAAAACTGACTTCATGGGGTCAAGGCTACAGGAGCACAAGGATTTGCTGTCTCTTCAACAACAAGGAGGATTCGGGCTAGGATGGAGCTCAGTGGGAGAGCCCTTGCCTGGCATGTGTGAGGTCTGGGTTCAAGTCTCAGCACTGCCACAAGAGCAAAAATTCCCCACCGTCCATCTGACCTTGCCAGGGGCCCAGACAAACTTCAGCTACCACATTTGGTAAATAAATCCACGCGGTGGGCCCGGAGCCTGTCCATCTGCTGCGTCTAAGGCTGCTATATTTGCTCCGAGTCCTGTGGAAGAGGTAGGAGTCGCTCCAGACTCCGCGTTTCCGGCCCTCTCGGAAGGGCTAAGGATAGCAAAGAAGACAGCTGCTGGCATTCAGCTCAGGGCTGCTCGGAAGGGTTTGCAGATGGGTTTGGAAAACGAAGTGGCTTCTTCCCCCACCCTGTGCTCCCCCAGCACCCCCGCTGGAGGATAATCCTCTACCCAGAAATGAATTTTGCAGCGTTACAGGAAAAGTAGTAAAGTGACCCCAAAGGGAGGTCTCCCATGAGATCCTCTCCTCTTGGCTAAATGATCTCAGGCACATATCCTAACCTAAATTAGGTGCTTTCTAAAACTGGCCGGGGCGGGGGTGGGGGTAGCTCCTTCAATGTCAATGTGAGAACTTTGGGGGTGAGAGGGAGGAGCCCTGAGGAGTGGGCCCAGGCCAGTGGGGAGCACGTTGAGTCCGTGGGGTTAGGCCTCAGCCCTTAGCTCACGTGTTCCTCCTTCCAAACCATCCGGGGGGGCAGGGGAGGACACTCTATGCTTTTTTTCTCTTATGGGCTGGGTGGGGTGATAGCAAGAGTGATATTTTCTCCAAAAGTGGGGAGACAGGTCGTCTGGGAACCCCTGCTGTAGCAGAACACTGATGAAGCCTGCTTCCTTTCCATCTCTGTCCGACGCCACTGGGCACCTATCACCCCGCTCTCCTTCCCAAGGCCCCGTTTTTCTTCCCCTCCTGCTACACAAGCTGACAGCTGTCCCCACCACCCAGTCGAGTCTCCTTGTCTTCCAGGGGACCCTCCAGGATGAGGGCCACACGTCTCGGCTCCCTTCTGAGATGTGTGGTCCCAAGGACCAGGTAGAGCAGTCGGGGGTGGGCAGAAGGAAGGGCTCAGGCTCCTTAGGCTCCCAGGCCATGGGATCAAAGGAGGTCACTTCAAACTAAACACAGGGCCAGAGAGATAGCGCAGCAGGCAGAACGCCTGCCTTACACACGGCCGGCCGGGGTTCAGTCCCTGGCAATGCATTTGGTACCCCAAGCACCGCCAGGAGTGCACAGCACAGAGCCAGCAGTAACCCAAGAATTCCCAGTTGTGGCCTCCCCAAGCAGAACAGAATACGTCAGCACAGTGATGAGCCACGGAGGACCCTGGGGGACAAGAGCATTCTCCAATGGGAGAGGAACAGTGAAATACCGAGAATCTGAGTCCTCTATTCCTGCCTGCACCTCATTTTGCTTTTGGTGTAATTCTTTGAAATCTGAAGGCAAATGTACTGCCAAACCTGCACACACCAACACCCCCATCCCCCCACCAACACACACACACACAACCTCTTGCACTTTCAACCTTCCTTTTTGGATCAATTGTCCTGTTCCTTAAATAAGATCGAAGATCGATTTTTTGTTGTCTTGAAGCCATACACAGTACTGCTCTGGGGTTCCTCCTGGCTCTGCACTCAGGAATTACTTCTGGTAGTGCTTGGGGAGACCATATGGGATGCTGGGATTCGAACCTGGGTCGGCTGGGTGGAAGGCAAACACCCTACCTGCTGGGCTATCGCTCCAGACCCAGAAGAATAATTTTTTTGGAAAACATCTATCACCGTTATACCATCTTGTTTATTCTACTGCTGAACAAGATTCACTTTTACTACAAGTACTAAGATGAAATCTAGGTTTTGTTGTTTCATCCTAGGTATTTAAAAGAATATTTTATTTTAAACGTATAAATACAAAAACTTCACACCTGCTACTCTCAAAGAATTCCAACATGCTGACAGTATTATTCTGAACTAGTGCGTCTCCCAAAGCAATTGATATTTTATTGTTTTGGTGGTTTTTTTTTTTTTTTTTTTTTTTGCTTTTTGGGTCACACCCGGCAATGCTCAGGGCTTACTCCTGGCTCTGCACTCAGGAATCATTCCTGGTGATGCTCAGGGGACCATACGGGATGCTGGAAATCGAACCGGGTCGGCCACGTGCAAGGCAAAAGCCCTGCCCACTGTGCTATGGCTCCAGCCCCAGCAATTGGTATGTTAACACAAGCAACTTGGCCCTGTTCCCTTCACTTGTGAAATGTTTCTGAGATGGGGGCGAAAAGGGGAAGCCCAGTTCTCTTTCTCTTGGACACACCCCGCAATGCTCAGGAGCTACCCCAGGTTCAGGAATGACCATGTTGGTGCTGGGGGATCCTGGGCAGTGCTCCAGGCTGTATCAGCAAGATGCGAGGCAAGCACCTCATCCCTCCCACCCCAGAAACGTCCATTTTCAATACCCCAACCTTTCCGAGAACATCCGGTACAAGTCCATGAGCTTCTATTAAGACATGAATACCTGCAACTTCAGACGCTGACTTTGGCCCTATTTCTTCAACCACGCAGTCATTACTCTGGCCATCAGGCTGACACGGGGCGCTGACCACCCGCCTTGGTCCAGGTGCCCAGGGACTGAGTGGCTTTGGGGGTTCTGGCCAAACCCCAGGTGCGCGGTTCCGGGGAGGAAGGAAGAGGAGTCTGACTTTTCTGGGCGCGGAACTGATACCCAGTGATGTCACTCCCGGCCGCCTCCCTGCCGGAAGGTCCCTTCTGCGGTCCCCTGGATTCCGCGCTCCTGGGCGAGGTCTCCCCGGCGTCCCCGACCCCCACTCCCAGCTCTGGGGCAGGCGCTGCTCCGGGGAAGCCCGAGCTCCCTGGAAATCCCCCGGCCAACAGCGACCTCCTCCTCCTCCGAACCTGGCCCCCTGATACACCCCCGGCTCCCCGCCGGGCCGCCCCCGATCACGGGAACGTTGCGCTGCTGCAAAGGGGGCTTCCCGCCCCCTCCCATGGGCCAATCGCAGCCGCGCCGTCGCCAACGTCTCCTCCCACCCGGGCAGCCTCTGCTGCTCAGTTCTCGCTAGAAGGCGGCAAGAGTTGGCGCTAGGGCGACTCCTGGGGTGGGAGGTGGTGGGGGGGGTGGAGGGCTTCCCGGACGCCCGAGCGAAGCCCCGCACCCCGCTCCTCCCAGGAAGTCCCACTGATGCGCAGGAGGCCCGGCACGAGCCGCTTCCGGCACGTGCCACTTCCGGCACGAGCCACTTCCGGGGAGGGGCGCCGGCCCCAGGGCTCCGGGTTTTCCTACGTGACCCAACAAACGAGAGTTCCGTCGGCCCCGCCACCTGGGACCTGCGCAGCGAAGGGGGGGGTGGGGCGTTGACAGCGCAGTCGTTCAACGCAGGCGCCCCAGTGGGTGGGGGGGAGGGACGGTAGAAGGCCGTGGGACGGGTTTCGTCCAGCCGCGGCCCGCGCGAGTCCCACCGGCAGCGCGCGCCGGCCCTCACTTCCGGCGTGTCCGCCCCGCTTCCATCTCCGGCGCCGAGCGCGCCAAGTTCCCGCGCGCGCTCTCGCGCGGCCCGGCGCCCGCGCGGCACGCCGGGAGTTGTAGTCCCCGCCTGGGCCGGGAGAGCGGGGAGAGCCGGCGCGGCGCGGGCGCGTGGCAGGAAGCGGAAGCGGCCGGCGGCCCGCCCCGCCCCGCCCCCGCCGCCGGCCCCGCCCCGCCCCGCGTCGCCGCGCTCGCCCGCCCGTCCCCGGCCGCAGCACTGACGTGTCCCTCGGCCCGAGCCGCGCGCGGCCCCTCGGCAGCCCCGCAGCCGCCGCCATGGCCAGTGAGTGCCCGCGCCCCCCGCCGCCCGCGCCCCCCCCGCCGCCCGCGCCCCCACCCCCGCCGCCCTAACTCTGCCTTTTCTCTCTCCTCTGCCCCCGTTTGCAAGTCAAATTCCTGGAGGTGATCAAGCCCTTCTGTGTCATCCTGCCGGAAATCCAGAAGCCCGAGAGGAAGGTGAGCGGCCCCCGGGGGGACCCGGGACAACGGGGCCGGAGCCGACCCCCCCGCGATCCCCGCGACCCCCGCCCGCTCCGCGCCGCCCCCGCCCGCCCCGCGGCGCACGCCCGGGGGTCGGGGGCGTCGCTCCCCGGCTCCGGGGGCCCCGGTCGGGACGGGGAGGTGCGCGCGGAGCACCCCGGGGTCCTGAGAACATACGGCAGCACGAGAGCCCCCCCTTCCCCCCGGGGTCCTGCACCCACGGCGGCCGCGGCCTTGGCAGGGGGTGGTCCACCCGCCGCGCTTTGTGCCTGGACGTCCGACCATCCCAGGGGCACTTGGGGCTCTCGGGGTCTTGAGATCTTAGGCTGGGACTGGAGAGAGAGGGGGGATTTTTTTTGTTGTCGTTGGGGCTTTTTTTCGGGGGGGGGAGTGGGGGGTTGGTTTTGATCATTGTTGGGCCTCGCCTGGCGGTGCTCAGGGGTTACTCCTGGCTCGGGATTGAGGAGTCAGCCCCTGGCAGTGCTTGGGGTGGGGTGGGGGGGCACGCGGGATGCCAGGGATCGAACCGGGGGTGGCACTGTGGCCCTTTTCTCTCCAGGTCCAGGAGCGTCATCCTCCCCACTGCGGTCACAGGCCCCCGTGGTGGTGTGCAAGGTCCAGCCTAGGCTTAGGGCGGGGGTGGACCCCAGAGGTGGTGGCTGGTTGTCGTTGAGAAGGGAGAAGTGACTTCTGGGGAGCAAAGGAGTTGGAGGCTTGTGCTGGCCGGGTGGGAGGGGCTCGTGTCGCCCAGATTTGATTGAGCGTAGTCGGGCGCTGGGCACATGAGGAGATGGGTCTGGGGGTGCTGGGCACAGGAGTGGCTTAAAGGCTGCTCCCCCACTCTGGACCCTGCCGTAAAATGGGGTCAAGAGGCAAAGCTGGGTTCAGGGGGGTGGTGAAAGAGAGAGGAGGTACGACTGGATACAGAGCTTTGGAGATTCTTCTCTTGAACCTGGTTCCGCCCACGGGAGATCGGGCTGTTTACCAAATGAGGGGTGTTGTAAGAATCGTGAACTCTTACGGGCGGGCAATAGTACAGCCGTGAGGGCCTGGCCTTGCACGCAGCCGACCCAGAGTAATTATAGGAGTAATCCCCAAGTATCACCGGTGTGGCTATTTTCCCCACCCCAGTCCCCGACTCCCACCCCCCCAAAAAAAATTGTGAACTCTTTCCTATAAAGAAGCAACTCAAAGCAAGCTTGTTGGGCTTGTGGTCAGCTGAGACGCTGCCTTCGTTGTGAGGTGGGGGAGAGGCATGTTCTCAAGAGGGAGAATTACATGAATTAGGGACCAGAGAGAGGACAGTGGGCATTTGGCATTTGTTTTGGACGTGGCCGGTCTGGGTTCAGTCCCGCCACCACATAAGGTCTCCCAAGCCCCACCAGGTGTCAATGCTGAACACCACTGTGTATGGCCCTCAGGTCTCCTCTCCCCAATTCAGCCCCCCCCCCCCCAAAAAATTAAAGAGGTGTGACTTCAGGTGCACCATCGGCTCTTTGGTTGCTGGGAAGAGAAGGCGTAATTTGGGCCATACTCAGCAGTCCTGGAGACCACTCCTGGCTCAGTGCTCATCTCAAGACCATAGGCAGTGCCGGGGATTGAAGTGGGGTCAAACTGTCTCTTGGGTCCTGTGTCACCATCTGGGCACGGAAGGCCTCATCTACTTCCCCTCAGATCACGAAGTTTTCAGTTTCATGTGTTTTTATTGTTGTTCTAGTGCTCAGAGGCTGTGCAGTTCCCGGACTCAGACTTGGGCTGCACACCCACAAGGCTCGCGTTCTGCTTCTAGAGCCACGTGTCTCGCCCAAAAAGTCGATTTTGCTCGTTTGAGGGTCACATCTGGTGATGCTCAAGGGACCATATGGGTCGGCAGGGTGCAAGGTAAGCACCCTACCCGCTGTGCTATCCAGCCTCCCCAAAAGTGATCTTTTTTCTTATCTTTTATTTTGAAGTTTTTTCAGTTATAATTGGAAATCAAAATTCATTATAAATCAACATTATAAATTAAAATGTGTACATTATTTTGTCCACATAATGTATATTGCAAAACCAAATGGTGTATGAATCACAATTATATTTTCTGTTCTTGTGCAGCCTTCTCTAAAATTAGAATTTGTTTTGAAAATGTAAGATCAGGCATCAGTCCATCTTAAAAATCTCTGGAGGGGCTGGAGCAATAGCACAGCAGGTAGGGCATTTTCCCTGCACGTGGCCAACCCAGGTTCAATTCCCAGCATCCCATATGGTCCCCTGAGCACCACCAGGGGTGATTCCTGAGTGAAGAGCCAGGAGTAACCCCTGTGCACCGCCGGGTGTGACCCAAAAAGAAAAAAAAAAATCTTTGGAGACATACTGTCAGGTTTTCTCTGGTAATCTGTAAGAATACAGTTTTGTGTGTCAGAGCAATAGTACAGCAGGTAGGACCCTTGCCTTGCATACAGCTGACCTCAGCTCAATCCCTGGCATCCCATATGGTCCCCCGAGCCTACCAAAGTGATCAGCGTAGGAATAAACCCTGAGCACCGTCAGGTGTGACCCCCTCTCCCCACGCCCACACACAAACAGACACACACAATTTTTTTCATTTAGTACTGTCCATCACAAGGTCGTTCCATGTTGAAGCCCTTAGTCCTAATGGCCATTACCAGATTGGTTGAGCCATCGAAAGCCATTGTGGCAATCTAGGTAGAGGGACTAGCGAGGCCCCAGCTTCAGGCAGAAGACCCCAAGAGGGGGGTCTGGGAGAGAGTACAGCAGGTCCGAGTACTTGCCCCCAGCACGCGGCTGATTTGAGTTTGATCTCATCCCATATGGTTCCACCCCTACCCCCTGACCACTGCCAGGAGTCACCCCTAAGTGCAGAGCCAGGAGTAATCCCTGAGCATCTTCGGGTATGACCCCCAGACACAACAAAGACCCTGGACAATCTCCGTCTGCAGCTTAGGACCGAGGAAGGGAACGGGGCTGTCTTGATCCTGGGTCATCGTCTACGCAGCAAACCCAAGTAGCATCACGCGTCACACTTGCTGCGGGAACCTTTGGGCCGTTAGCGAGACATAATTAAACTCTCCCTCTATTGCTCATTAGTACCTCGCTGCTCTTAATTCCTCGGAAATACACCGTGGAATCCCAGATGAGTTCACTTCAGAATAACAAGGGCTTGGCAGAGGCCTCTCGGAGGGACCTGGAACATTCCTGTGCTTGCCTTGGGCTGACGTTTTTGTCTGTCTGGGTTGGGAGCCATGTCACAGGGTACTGGAAGCCAGAGGAAGCTCTTCCCTGGGTGCTGGGGGGCCAGGCAGGGTCAGTGGTGGGACCCAGGGCTTTATACCAAGACATGTGGCCTGCCCGTAGGAAAGGCTTGTATGGCAACATGCTTATTTAGGATGGGCTTGGGTCACCCCTAGTGGTGCTCGGGGCTTCCTCCTGGCTCTGTGCTCAGGGGACCACATGGGGTGCCCGGGAATGAACTTGGGTCAGCTGCACAGAAGGCAAGTTCTGGCAGCAGGCTTTGATCTGGGGTGTGATCTTGCACCCCTGAGAACTCACATGGAAGCCATGAGCTCAGGGACTGATCACTGCTCCAAGACTTTGGGTTTTGGTGATAAAATACAAAGGATTCTGTTGGGGCCCATGGTTAAATGACACGGGGCCATGTGGATGGGGCTGTGTAGAGGGTGCGGGCCCAGGTTTGGTGTGGGGGGTTCCAGGTGTGCTTCTCCAGGTGGCTGGGGTGGGGGGGCCTCCCCCAGGTCTGTTTCCGTTCATTCCATCATTTCCATTCCATCATTTGCTGATGGAAGGAACTTGCAGCCTGAATCTACTCTGTTCCCTTCCAGATCCAGTTTAAGGAGAAGGTGCTATGGACCGCCATCACCCTCTTCATCTTCTTAGTGTGCTGCCAGGTAAGCCCCGCCTTGGCCCCACAGGGGTAGGGTGGGGTGGGGGGCTGCAGGCCGGGGCCCACACCCTCCTCTCCCGTCTCCAGATCCCGCTCTTCGGCATCATGTCTTCCGACTCGGCCGACCCCTTCTACTGGATCCGTGTCATTCTCGCCTCCAACAGAGGTAAGACCGGCACTCGCAGCCCCGTCTCTGTCTGTCCTGGGCTTGATGCAGCCTTTGGAGATGGAGAGGAGAGAGTGCTGTGCGTAGTTCAGCACCCAGGCTTCAGTCCTATTCAGAATGGCATTTGAATGAATTATTGAGCCCACAATAGTGAGGTAAACACTGCAGGGAATATCAAAATATGGGCACGCCGGAATGTTTTTACACAACTGAAAGGATGGCGTTTCCACAGGAACTTTCTCTTTTGATAATATTCATCAGGACATCATTTATTTTCAAGCTGCCTCTCTTTCCTATCTGCAAGTTTTGTTGTGTGTGTGTGTGTGTGTGTGTGTGTGTGTGTGTGTGTGTGTCAGTGTCAGTGTGACTGTCTCTTCCATGCAGTTACTGGGGAGCTGACAGAGAGGGCAAGCAGCAGTATAAATGTTCAACCTCCGCCCTCTCTGTCAGCTCCCCAGTAACTGCATGGAAGAAACAAAGTCACACCGCTGCTCCTTATTAGAGAGCAGCTCAAACTAGCTTCCAAATCCGTTGGAGGGACCAACTGTGCTAGCGTAAACTCACTTGCGTGTACTAGAAGTAGCGGATCACTCGAGGCTCAGCCACGTTGTTCAGGCCTGCTCTCCAGACTCGGGAAATTATTTGAATTTTCTCCCTTTGTATTGACTGACAGAGAGACACGTCTTCTCTCTGTGAGCCCGGGAAGAATCTGTTTGCAGTGACTTCTACTGCAGAGTTCTGTTGCCACGCCTTGAGCGTTCCCAAACAGAATGAGATGTTACCTGCAGGGTGAATGGAATTCCTTTCCCGTTGTTCCTATTTGGGTGTCCTCTGAATGCTGCTAGCAGACTGAAGTCATGGGACCCACGTCCAGGGCGCGTGCACGCTTCCCTCCTTGTGCTTCTCTCTTGATGTTCTGCTTCTCCAAGCTGACGCTGGCTGTGTCCCCCTCCCCGTCGTCTCCAGGCACGCTGATGGAGCTGGGCATCTCGCCCATCGTCACGTCCGGCCTCATCATGCAGCTCTTGGCCGGCGCCAAAATCATTGAAGTCGGTGACACCCCCAAGGACAGAGCCCTGTTCAACGGAGCCCAAAAGTGTAAGTGAGGTTTTGTTTTGACGGTGGCGGGGGGAGGGGGGGCACACCCAGTGGTGCTCAGGACTTATCCCTGGCTCTGCATGCAGGGATCACTCCTGCGGGTGCAGTGCCGGGGATGGAACCGGCCCACTGCATGTGAGGCAAGCGCCTCACCTGCTCCAATCGCTCCGGCCCAGAGATTTTTAGTATGGCCTGGACGGGGCATAGCTGAGAGTCGGGTTGCGTGGCAGTGCCTGGGACTCCGTGGTTTCATTCTGTCCAGGAGCGGAGCATCCCCCAGGGCTGTGAGCCCCACAAGCGCTCCATAGCCCGGCATGTCTGGGAGAGTCCCAGATGGAGGGCCTTTGGACTGAGCTACGGGGTCCGGAAGTGTGTCCAAAGCCACAGGCTACAGGGATGCCTGCCCCCAGCCTTAGTTTCCCCCCCACTGAGACAGGGTCTGCTGTGTGGACCTTGTGAGAACCCCAGCGTAGTCAGGTGGCAAGTTTCTTTCTTCCGAGGGTTTGGGAGGACTCAGAAGGATTCGTGGGGGACATCTTGGGACCAAGTTAGCCTGTTGCTCTTCATCCGAGAGAGTTAGACTGTTGCTCCTACGTACCTCGGCAGTCCTGGCGTCACTGGGAACGGGGACCCTCAGGCCAGGCCAGCTCAGTCCACACCTCCCTCTTGACTGTGGACTGGAATTGCTGATTAAGAAACGGAATCTGATTTCTTTCCCAGCCGTGTTTTGTTCCCGTGCCAGCTTGACTGATCTTACGTGATTAAGTGGGAAACACTGGTCGTTTCAGATGACTGGTAAAATCCTGATTTTAATGTACAAGTGAAAGAACATAAGCAAATCAGCTGGGGTTGGAGAGAATCCATGTGTTGCTCCTCAGAAACACACAGAGCCCTGTGCCCTGTGCCCTGCGGGGTGTGGAGGAAGGCAGAGCAGCTGGTCTCTCTTTGGTCTTGACAGGTTTTTACGGTTGGGTGTCTTAGGCCACACCCCCAGCAGGGCTGAGGGCTTTCTCCAGGCTCTGCGCCCAGGGCTCACTCCTGGCAGGGCTCTGGGCACCGTCGGGGGCTGGGGAGGCCAGACCCAGGGCCGCTGTGTGCAAGGCCAGTGCCTTCCCCCGCACTATCGCTGCAGCCTAAGTCTGGAGAGCGTTTGTAAGTGTCCTCCTGCCCGAAGGAGTCAGTGTTCCTAAATACTTCCGAGCATTCTGGTAGAGGGGCCAGAGAAACAGCACAGCGGCCACCTGCCTTGCACCATCTGGCCCAGTTCAGTCCCTCAGCACCCCCTTGTGGCCCCCTGAGCGCAAGTGGGTGTGAGACTTGTGTGCGCCCCCCCACACACACACACACAAAAATAGGTAAAATACAAATTCTTTTGGCACATCAAGTAAGTTTTCTTTTCCACGGCCGCCTCGCTGCAGAGTGCAGGGAAGCCCGTGGTTATAGACACGCATCATCTGTGTTGTGGGCCCCTAAACACGGTGCTGGTTCCCTGTGTCTGAGAACCCAGGAGCAGGACACAGAGACCAAGATGGTCCACATGGAAGAATGCTGCTGCTTGCCACAAGAGCTTCGTGGCACAGGCAGTGGACTGGACACCAAATGGTGGCATTTGAGCTTGTCACTTAAGAAGCACATTCCGTACAAATTTCAGTTGACTGGATTTGGGTACAGGGTAGTTTGCTTGACTGCAGAGTTCGGGGTACTGTGTTTGGACTCGGCCCTGGGGAGCGAGTGTGGAGGTGGCTCAAACCTGTTGTTACATGAGGACCTGGCCATGAGCCAAGTGTGGGTGCTGCAGGGTGGTTTCATGAGCTGTCCACGTGCCCCCGGGTTTGGCCTTCAGGAGCGTATACCCCTTCTTTGGGAAGGGTCCTTGTTGGGGGTGCCACACCCGTTGAGTTCATGAGAAACAGATTTGTCCTGTGTCTTCAAGGAAGCAAGTGCTTCCTTGCCCATCGCGAGGAGCGTGAACTTAGGCGACAGGGAAACTGAGGCGTGCATGTGTTGAAGGCCATCCGCCAGCGTGTTCTCAGCAGCAGCTCTGATGTTGTGTCCAGAGCGCAGGGAAACAGGGCCCGGAGTCGTCCTCTCCCTCGCTCCCGGCCAGCGCAGGCCAGCGCTCACCGGCTTCCTCTCCACTCCAGTGTTTGGCATGATCATCACCATCGGCCAGTCCATCGTCTACGTCATGACCGGGATGTACGGGGACCCCTCGGAAATGGGGGCTGGGATCTGCCTGCTGATCACCATCCAGGTAACGGCTGGGGACACAGCCAGCCCTGCCGAGGAGCATGGGTACACGTGCACACACACACACTCACGCACGCGTGCACGCACACCGATCACCATCCCGGTAATGGCTGGGGACACCAGCCAGCCCCGCCAAGAAGCATGGGCATATATGCACACACACACACACACACACACACTGATCACCATCCCAGTAATGGCTGGGGACAGCAGCCAGCTCATGGATGTGCATGTGTGCACACACGCGCGCGCGCGCGCACACACACACACACACACACACACACACACTGATTACCACCCAAGTAATGGCCGGGATACCAGCCAGCCCTGCCAAGGAGCAGGGACAGGCGCGCGCACACACAGCTTTCTCTCACACGCCACCATCCAGGTAACTGTAAGGGACCCCGTTCTCCCCCTCCCAAGGAGCACACCAAGTGTGTATGCACACACACGTATGCACTGCACCACCACACACCTGGAGAGGCATAAAAGAGACTTGGAGAGGCCATAGTCCCGCACTTGCCCTGCTGCGGCCCAGAGGGAGGGACCGTCCCTGCTGGCGGCCGAACGAGTCCCCAAAGCACGGGTGTCCGTCTCTGCAGCTCTTTGTGGCCGGGTTGATTGTCCTGCTCTTGGATGAACTTCTGCAAAAAGGTTATGGCCTGGGCTCCGGCATCTCCCTCTTCATTGCCACGAATATTTGTGAGACCATCGTGTGGAAAGCATTTAGCCCCACCACCGTCAACACCGGCCGAGGTAAGGGCCCGGCCAGCTCTGGGGCCAGCACCCGTGGGCAGGCGGGCGGGCACAGAGCAGAAGCCGTGCCCCTCGTTCCACGTGTCCCTCGTTCCACGGAGAGTTGCTCCATTGGGGAACATCTGCCCCGCGCTGTCTCTCTGGCCCCAGAAGTCAGCTTTCCAGCACCAAGTGTGTTGGTCCCTCTGCAGAGGCTGTGCGCTCTCGGTGTATTCTGTGAACTGAATGCTGAGGCCCTGGCCTCAAGAGACGCTGTGGCCTCATTCGTGAGGCTGAGAATAGGGCCCTGGGCAGAGGGAGGCCGCGTGTGCTTGTAGTTGGAGCCAGGGAAGAGTGGGTCAGAGCAGACCCTGGCCGTGTCACTGGGCAGGGGTTAAACCCCACGCATGGTACCTGGCAGGGAGGCGGCTGACGGGCCAGCCCTGCAGGGAAGGGGACGGGAGGGAGGAGGAGGAGGTGGTGGTCAGGGTGAGTCCCTGTCTCTGGCTGGAGGATCCCCTAAGCTGCACAGAGGTGACCCGGAAGGGCCAGCAGCCACCAGCCCAGGGCCACACTGCATTCAAGAGCCAGGCCCCTCCTGGGGTCAGAGGGCAGCTCGCTTCCCTCCCGCCGCTGCCTCGCTCCTTCACCCGGGCCCATCCTTCCCGCCCGACAGGAATGGAGTTTGAAGGCGCCATCATCGCCCTGTTCCACCTCCTGGCCACGCGCACCGACAAGGTCCGGGCCCTGCGCGAGGCCTTCTACCGCCAGAATCTGCCCAACCTCATGAACCTCATCGCCACCATCTTCGTCTTCGCTGTGGTCATCTACTTCCAGGTGCGTCGTGTGCAGTTCCCCCCCCGGGGTCCCAAAGTCCTAGTGCGCACTGGGGTCCGTGGGGGGTGTCTGGCGCGGTGAGATGGCAAACGCGCGTTTCAGGGGCGCCTTCCCCGGGGGTCTGCTCCGGTGGTCAAGGCAGAGTGAACTTCCCTGTGTATCCTCTGGGCTGACCCTGGGAGGCGTCAAGATGTGCTTTGAAAGTCCTTGGTTCAGGAGAAGAGAAAATGCGCTGTGCGGCCTCTTCTGTGTCGTGACCAAAATGTGGTACCTTTTGTTGGTTTGGGGTTGGGGGCCACACCCAGTGGTGTTCAGGGATCACTTCCTGCTCTGTGCTCAGAGGGTCACCCTGGTAGGGCTTGGGAACCCCGTGGGGTACTGGGGGTCGGACCAGGGGGTTGACAGGTGCCTTGTCCACTGTACTGTCGCTCTGGCCCCAAGGCCCTTCCGGGTCACTCACACAGGCACCCTGATCTGACGTCTGCCTTTGTGTGGTTGGTCTGGCAACGGCTTTGATGCACATCCCCCCGTCCAGAGAAGGTGCAAGGGGAGCCGCTGAAAGTCCCCAGGGATTCTCTGTGTTCGGCGTTCCCAGCGTGCGCGGCTCTGCTCCTGCGGCCAGACGGTGGGCACAGGCGGCTCTTCTGGAGCCGACCAGGGTCAGAACTGAGCTGTTCAGAATTTACTTTGAATCCTCTGTGTTCTGAGCCCTGTTCAAGACCCCGGGAACTGGCCCAAACAGTAGATAGGAAACCCGTTCTTGAAGATTTCAGCGGGAGAAAGGAACGTCCGAGGAAATGTTTCTGTTTCTGATGGAAAGTGTTGGACAGGGCTGTTCGGGGGATGTGGTGGCCTTTCCAGGGGCCACTGGGAAGCTTTGGCCAGCAGGGCCACTGCTGCTGAAGAGGGCATGTGCCACAATTTGCCTCCAGACGCCATCTTCGCACACCAACAGCCCTGGCCCAGAGACTCCCAGTTGAACAGTTGAATCCCAAAATGGATCAGTGCCATACAGAGCTGTCTCTGGAACCCAACCATTTACAATCTAGAAACTTACATTTACAATTGTAGCCACGCGAGCTCTCGTGATATTCGAGATGAGCTATGGAAGATACATTATCTAGCCTCTGCCCCTGTCAGGGAGGCTTGAATGGTGGTGGAAAAATTTGAGCAAAATTAATGCCCAAAATTCAAGAGAGAGTATTGGGGAAATTGTCTGCCATAGAGTCAGGGTAAGGACTGCGATGTGTGTGTGTGTGGGGGGGGGGGGGGTGGTACTTGGGACATTGGTGGTGGAAAACGGGCGCTGGTGGAGGGATGGGTGTTCCATCATTGTAGGCTGAATCGCATGAAAGCTTCGGAACTCTCATGGTGATACAATAAAATAAAAAAGTAATGTGGAGCTCATGCCCCATTCAATCAGCTTAATCAATGGCTGAACAAATAGCAGTACTCTTACGTTATTTAAAAATAAAAAAGAGGGCGTGTGTTGTTAGCAAAAGTGGGATGGCGCCAGCGTGCCATGCCAGGGGCCGGTGGGGCCCGGCTTTGCGGGTGCCTGGCCTCGCCGTCACCGGTGCATTGCTCTTGGGCTTCTCAGGGCTTCCGCGTGGACCTGCCCATCAAGTCTGCCCGCTACCGAGGCCAGTACAACACGTACCCCATCAAGCTCTTCTACACCTCCAACATCCCCATCATCCTGCAGTCCGCCCTGGTCTCCAACCTCTACGTCATCTCCCAGATGCTCTCGGCCCGCTTCAGCGGCAACCTGCTGGTCAGCCTGCTGGGCACCTGGTCTGTAAGTGCGGCTGCCCCAGCTGGACGGTGGGGGGGGGGGGGGTCTCACTCCACCCAGGGAGCCTCTGGCTGGTCCCCACCCCCCACCCCGTGGGATTGCTAAGAACATGGCGCTGTGTGCCCTCCCCAGGACACATCCTCCGGGGGCCCCGCGCGGGCTTACCCAGTAGGGGGCCTCTGCTACTACCTGTCGCCCCCTGAGTCCTTTGGCTCGGTGCTGGAGGACCCCGTGCACGCGGTCGTCTACATCGTGTTCATGCTGGGCTCCTGCGCCTTCTTCTCCAAAACCTGGATCGAGGTCTCCGGCTCCTCTGCCAAAGACGTGAGTCTCCGCTCTCTTCCTCCCCGGGGAACGGTCAGCAGCCGCAGCCCAGTGGCTCGTTTCGGCACTGTTGTCTGGGGGACCTGAGCCAGAGTGCCCGAGACTTGGGTGCGTGACCCCTTTGCAGTAGCAGTGAAGTTGCCATGTGCCCGGGGGGCGGGGGGGTCTGTGCGGCCGTAGGTGGTCTGGGCACTGGGGCCACGCCGTTGCCCGCGCTCCCGCCCTGGGACCTACCTCCCCTTCAGCCCCTCCCCCCACTGGCGTCTCGCAGGTGGCCAAGCAGCTGAAGGAGCAGCAGATGGTGATGCGCGGCCACCGGGAGACGTCCATGGTCCACGAGCTCAACCGGTGAGTGCAGGCCCCAGGGCAGCCTGCTGGGACGGGCCTCGCCAGGCCTTTTCATGAGGTGCAGGCTAGGAAAGGTGCCAGTGTCTTCGGGGGGATGTTGCAGGGGGGTCTGCTCAGCTGGGGGTGACAGTCATGGCGCACAGGTGACCTCTGCATCAAGGCTGAGCCCTGGCACCGCTTCTCCCCCGCCCGCCCAGTGTTGGCCACAGCGCTGGACAGTTCAGCGTGACAAGCGTAATCGTGTCTCAAGACTGTCTACTGTCCATACCCTCGTGCCCTAGCTGTGAGGCTCCCGGCTGCCCTCGCACTGGTTCCAGCCTGGGGGAGGGGCTTGTCATTCTTCTCCTGCCTTCTGGAAACCTAGAACAGAGTTTGCCGACGTGGGCACACCGCGCCCTTGGACGGCTGGGGAGCATCTTGTTCACCCAGGGGTCCTGGTCGCCAGAATGTCGGGAGGCCCGCGGAGCAGGGAGCCTCTGGGCTAGACTGACGGGGCAGGAGAGAACTTGGGGCCGAGCAGTGTGCCTTGAGGCAGCCAGGTTCCAGCTCCATCCCCGGTACTACAAGGTCACCCCCAACTCAGCGGGGAGAACTCCCTGAGTACCACGGGTGACCCCAAGACCCCCACCCCAAGAAAAAAACCCAAGCAAAACTAGACGTTAGCAATACTTGCAAAGCAGGTGGGTTCAAGTATTGTTTCTGCTCTGAGCCTCAGAATCCTGTCTCGGGCCGCTGTGGTCGGAGCAGCACCCCCACTTCCAGGCCTTGGGAAGGGGTGGCAGGAACTCAGGGCCTCGGGTCAGAAGTGACATGTTGGACTCCCGGCCCCTCCCTAGGTACATCCCCACGGCGGCGGCCTTCGGTGGGCTGTGCATCGGAGCCCTGTCTGTCCTGGCCGACTTCCTGGGCGCCATCGGCTCGGGGACAGGGATCCTGCTCGCCGTCACCATCATCTACCAGTACTTCGAGATCTTCGTCAAGGAGCAGAGCGAGGTGGGCAGCATGGGGGCGCTTCTGTTCTGAGCGCCGCCCCCGGGCCCGGCGCCCGCACAGGAGCTCGGGGTGGCCGCGGCCTGGACGCCCTGGCCCAGGGGCACCGCTGCGGCTTGTGGACTTGGCGAATATTTTTTTTTTTTCTGAATTTCATAGTCTTTCATTCCATGTTGTAAAGTGCTAGAGATTTTCCGGTTTGCAGTTTTTGCTTTTTTTTTTCCCCTGGCACTGGCGGAAGGACTGCAGGCGAGGGGGCCAGTGCCAGGGCTGGGGGTGGCACTCGCCCTCCCCCGGTGTTCGTGTGACTTCGGTTCCCGCCCTGCCCCCTTCTCGGCACCGCGGGCTCGGCTCTCCCACCGAGGGGGTCTCGCCGCTCAGAAGCACAAATCCTGGCCCAGGCTCTGTTCGGTGGCAGGGGTTGCCCGAGGCTGGGCAGCCACGTTTGCTGGGGACTGGAAGTGACACATGTCTTGGTCATCACCCGGGGACTGTCTGGCTCATAACTGTTCTTTGGGAAGACACCATGATTTTAAGGGCAGCTGCTTCCCCGAACAAGGGCTAGCTTGGAGCAGTGACGTAGCGGGGAAGGCACTTGCTTTGCATGCAGCCAACCCGGGATCAGTCCCAGGACCCTGTAGGGCCCCCTGAGCACTACCAGGAAGTGACTCCTGCATGGTCCAGGTGTGGTCCCAAACAAACATCAGGAGATGCTTCCCGGGAGCTTCGCGCACACAGGGCCTCTGCTCCGTTTCCCCATGGCCTGCGTGGAGCGAGGCTGGGAATTCTCGGCCCCCTCGGGTTATCCCCAGCGGTGCCCCGGAGCCTTTGTGGGGGTCCAGGAGTGGTACCTGCCCACCCAGCTCTCCCAGTCATCAGTGGACCTGGCCCCAGGAAGGGAAGGTGACCCCATGGCGGCCACCCCCATTTCTCTGCTGGGCCGCTACCACCTTCAACTTCCACTCATGTTTCTAGACTCTTGTCTCACGCGTAGGACCAAACACTGGCGAACCCTGGCACCGCCCAGAGGCCCAGCCCGGGCCGCTGACACCCACGGGTCAGGAGTTGGTTCTGATGCAATAAGCGGTCGCTAGATCTTAGGGCTTCACACTTCTTCCATGGCCTCCGCGAGGCCCCTCAGGGGACAGCACCTGCAGGGCAGGCGACCGCCACACGCAGGGGGCGCTCGGCCTCCGGAGCACAGAGCCAGGGTCCCCGCCCCCCTTCCTCCGAGGGGCTGGACACTGCCCCCAAAGCCACGGCCAGTCAGCAGCGGCTCCCGCCAGCCGACACCATGTCACACGCGGCCTTGTCAGACCCAGTCCCGAGCAGACCCGAGCTCCCCACCTGCCCAGCCCCCGTGTCCAGTGGGTAGCCGGCCAGCGGCCCAGGACTCAGTGCAGGGACCCCAGCCGGGAGCCCCAGCCTGCCCACAGCCGCAGCCCCCGGTGGAACCTGGGCCCCTCGGGTTCCAGGACTTGTGCTTGCCGTGGTCAGGGGCTGACCCCAACTCGGGACTGTCACTGTGGACGCCAAAATGGCATAACTGAGATAAGGTGAATGAGTGACAATAAAGGCGACTTTTTCCAAGCCCTTGGTGTCTGTTCTCTTGCACCCTCCCTCGAGTCCCGCAGGGCCCTTCACATCAGGCCTGGACATCGCCACTGGCCTCCACCCAGAGGGCAGATGGACAGGACTGGGGCCTTGGCCTGTGTGGGCCAGTGATGCCAAAATCTTTGTCTTGGACAACTGCTGATTGTCGTGGGCGGAGTAGGGCGGGATGTTCCCGGGTCTGGCCAGCCAGTGGGCACTGAGGGGTCCCTGGGGCGCAGAGCCCACCCACCATCGCCACATGCTGGCTGCATGTTCTCCCCAGGCCCAGTGCCCGGGACTGAGCTGGGGTCAGCCATGTGCAGGGCCAGGACCTGCCCCTCTGCTATCTCTCCTGTGTCTGTCCAGTGGGGCCAGCACTGCTTGCCAGTCTCGCCACTGGCCAGCTGCAGAAACCGGCTTAAGGACAAGAGAGGCCATACTGCCACCTGGCGGCAGAGCTGGGACACGAGGCCCCGCGTCACTTCCTGCTCAGGCTCCTGCCTGCTGTGGGACCTGACCCACTTCCCTCCCACCATCCCGCTCTGCCTGGCTTTCTGAGGGGGTAACTTAGGGGGACCCCGTGCAGGGCAATCACCTTTCACACGGCTATGACCCGGTTCTGCCTGCTGACAGCCCACGCGCACCCCCTCCTGCCTGCGCCCATTAAGATCCAGCCAGGCAGGAGAACGGGGCTCCTCACAGGGGCCCCGCGCCCCAGCCCTGTACCAGGTACCAGGACACGCACCCCTAGGGTTACAGGATCCAGAGCTGCCTCTATTCCCCAGCAAGAGGGGGATCTGCAGAGCCCACCAGCCTCCGGCCTGCCCTCTGCCTGCCAGAGCTAATGCCCGGCATGTGGAATGTCCCCCGTGGAGGAGAGCCAGGAGCCGCCCTCCATCTAGAAGTCTCCATGCTGCGGGGACCAAGGGCACAGCTGAGCAGCGTGTGTTCCTCTGTGTTTTAAGAAAGGTGCCACGGCGGGGAGGGCGTTTGCCTCGCATACTACCAACCCGGGTTCAATCCCGGACATCCTCTATGGTCCCAAGCCCACCTCATGAAATGATCCTTGAGTGCAGAGCCAGGAGTAAGTGCCCCACACGGCCGGGGTGGGGGGAGGGGGGTGGTCCAAAAAACTAAAAAATGGGGAGTCCACAGGGTGGCTGACCTCAATTCAATTCATGGCATCATGGAGGGTCCCCTGAGCACTGTTGGGCCCTGGTTTAATCCCTGCCACCACATATGGTTTCCTGAGCACAGAGCCAGGAGTAGCCCCTGAGCACTCCAGGAAGTGGGTTTCCCTCCACCCCACCCAAAAGAAGGCTGGACAGACAGGGTGCTTTGCAATGTGAAAAGCCAGCTCTGTTTGGGGTCTTTGGGCCACACCCAGTTGTGCTCGGGGGACCCTATGGGATGCCAGGGATTGAACTGGGTTGTCTGCACACAAGGCAGACGCCTCCCTGCTGTACTATCCCTCCACTCAGTTTTAATCTGGCACCACATGGTCTTCCTAAGCACCAAGCCCAGAGTAGCCTCAGGGCACTGCTGGACATAGCCACCCCAACAAAACCTGATGCCAAATAAAAACTTGTCTCCACCCCTGCCTAACAGCTGGAAGCTGGGCACAGCCCAGCGCTATCGGCAGCAAGAGGATGAGCCGAGGGTGGTCCCGCATACAACGACTCATCCCAGACAGGTGCCGCGCGGGTATCCCCAGGGACTGGAAGCGTCCAGTCTCCAAGTGGAAAAAGCCAGCGTGACCTCGTTTCCTTGGTGTTCCCGGGCAGTAGGACCTCATTTCTGGTGAGAAGAAGTAGTACAGGGGTCCTCTGGGAGTCGCAGGGGAGAGGCTAAAGGGAACTGGGGTGTGTGGGGAGGTGGTTTTTCATTTGTCAAAACTCATGGAACAGGACCCCAAGCACCCAGGAGTGACCTCCCCCAATCACAGAGCGACAATTAGTTCCAGAGTATCACTGGGTGTAGCCCCCAGACCACCCCCACCCACCAAATAACTCCCAGATGGGGGTTGGGGAGAGAGTCCGGGAGGTTAGGCATCTGCCTGGCACACGGCCAGTCCTGTTTCAGTCCCCAGCACTGCCCCATCAGCGGTCACTCCCGGGCACAGCCTGGAATAGCCCCTGAGCATCTCAGGATGTGGCCTGCCCAGCACCCCAGCCCAGCCCTCCAAAAGAAACCTTATGGAGCAGGACCCTGAGGGCCAGTGCATCCCATTGTAGGATGTGCTTTCTGAACAAGCTGGCGATCAGACTCAGGAGCCCACACATGAGAAGCAGGCACTCAGCCACAAAAACACAGCCCGGCCCCTCTGTAAATAAATTTAGCCTTAACACAAACAAAAACCCCACACAGCTCAAAGCCTTTAGGGAAAAAAAAATCTTGGGGCCCGGAGTGATAGCCCAGTGGGTAGGGCGTTTGCCTTGCACGCAGCTGACCCAGGTTCAATCCCCGGCATCCCCAAGCACCGCCAGGAGTAATTCCTGAGTGCAGAGCCAGGAGTAACTCCTGGACATCACTGGGTGTGACCCAGAAAGCAAAAAGAAAAGCTCAAAGGACCTAGATGGGGAAAGGGGGTTACAAGTCTCATCCCAGCACTGTTGTAATCCAGCAGCCTCAGGACTCCGGACCCAAACAGCATTGCAGAGGGGTGCAGCGTGGAACCTTCCTCCTGGGTGGTAGGTGTTGGAGAGTGGCCCCTGACCCCTTAGCATTGTTGGGTGCACCCGAATCAATAACAACTTAGGTAGTTGCAAAAGTATCAAAATCCACTCAAGGCGTTTTGCTGAAGGATAGAGTACTAATGCATCGGGCCAATACTTCTTTGAGATGCACATATGAAATAGGGCTGGGGCAATAGTATAACAGGGAGGGTGTTTCTCTTGGGTTTGTCCTGGGTTCGATCCCCAGCATTCTCAAGGGGTCCCCCTGAGCATCTCCAGGAGTGATCCCTGAGTATCGCCGGGTATAACCCCCAAACCAAAGAACTTTAAAAAATATATATAGAGTGCATCCACTAGAAAGAAAATTGGATTAAAAGGTGCAGTGGGCCTGGGGCGTGTCTGTGGGAGGGCACACGCCCTGCCTGGCTTCCTCCTGGGGCATGACCAGGACAGTGGACGGGGCAGACAGACCAGGTGCCGATGCCAAGAGAGGCTCCTGGGTTTCCCCACAGGATTCCTGCAAGGGCTCCGGGGTACCCGGAGCAATGCATGCACCAGCCTGTGCTTCTGGGGAGGTGGGAGACCCCTGGAACCCCTGGGCCCCGGCCCCTGCTCCTGCCCCCGGGGCAGAGGACTTTGGGATGCACATTCCTTCCTGCTGTGTGCATGGCCAGGCGGGGGCGCTGTGGACCCGTGGCCTCAGCGCATCTGCCCAGTTCCAGAGACCCCGGGAGCCCGACTGCCTCTGCAGCTGCCTGTGCTCACCAAGGTCCCTCACTCTTCTCCCCGACCCCCTCAGGCTTGCCTCCAGACCCCACAACCGCAGCTGCAGCCCCCAGGGTTCCGGGGTACTGCCCATTTCCCTCCTCCGGGAAGGCCTCCAGGACTACCCCTCAGGACCTGGCTAGGGGGCTTTCCTGTCAGTCTGGGGGGCCCCAGTCGTCAGGTCACCGTGGGCATGGTGGGCTTTTCCACAGGCAGGTCTCTGCTCCGCCTCAGCCTGTGTGTTTGCACCAGCCAGGAGTGTCCAGGGCGTGGGCGCCGAGAGCACAGGGAGCAGGGGCGCAGGGCCGCTGGGATGCGGACCCCCGGGGTCCATGGGCCCCGCTGGACAGCGATGGCTGGGTCCAGTGTGGGGAGAGGACATTAGCTGTGGCCCCTGGGGCCTGACCTGAGCCCCTGGGGTCCCATGTGATGGTGGGAGCCCCAGCCCTGACGGTCATGTGCTGGGGTCATATACAGGGTGCGGGGTCAGCGGGATACAGGTGTGCGGGAAGGGGGGGCGGGGTGTAGGGCTGTAGGGACTGCGGGGTGTGCGGGGTGCAGGGGTCCGCTGTAGGGTGCGGACTCTGAGGGGCCCACAGATGCGTGTCCGCGGGATGAGTATCTGCGGGGTGGAGGGGTCTGCGGGGTGCGTGTCCACGGGCTGTGTGTGGGGTCCAAGGGGCCCGCGGGGTGCGTGTCCGCAGGGTGCGGGGTCTAAGGGCCCGCGGGGTGTGTGTGGAGTTCGAGGGGCCCGCAGGGTGTGTCCACGGGGTGCACGGCCCAAGGGCCCGCTGGGTGCGTGTCAACGGGGTGAGTGTCCACAGGGTGCGCGTCTGCAGGTGCGGGCCCAGGGTCCGCCCGCGCCCCCGCCCCGCCGTGGGCCCATTAATCAGGCGCTGACGCGGGCGCGGCCGGCGGGTGGGCGCAGGGGCCGCGGGTCCCACCGGCGCATCTTATCGCGCGGGCCCAGCCGCGCCGCCGCCCATTGATCGCGCGGGCCGGGCCTGGGGTCAGCGCGGGCCGGGCCGGCCTGACAGCCGCATCCATCGCTGCCCGTCGCCTGATGGCCCACGAGCCGCGCGCCCGGGTCATTAATCACCGCGCGCCACAAGCTGACGGCCGCGACAGACCAGCGGCCACCCGCCGCCCGCCGGCCCCATCCCCGCGGGGACAGCTGTCCTGGGAGGATGAGGGGGTGGCCCAGCCGAGGAGGCACAGCGCCTAGAAGTCTGGGCCTGGGGACCGGCCAAGCGCGGCCAGGCCCAGAGCCCGGCATTTCAGCTGTGTGCCCGGCTGGACCTGGGGATAAGGCCATGCCCACACCCCCGGCCCTCTGACCTAACTCCGGAGCATGGACGATCTCTAGGTCTGCTGGGGGGTGGGGGGTGGGCTGCCTGGGAACTCTGCTGAGGGGCAGTCGCTCCAACACCCGTGGGCTCTGAGTGCCCCGACCCACGATGGCCAGGAACCAGCCTATGGACACCGAGGGCCAAACACAACCCGACCACCCGTGCTCTGCCCGGGACAGTAGCAGGTGCCTCTTCTGACAGGAGTCCT